TAAGGTAATAACATTGTGAATTAAGAGAGAATAAATGTTTATAAATAAATTACTTGAGGAATGCAAATAACGTAGCAGAGAAACGAAGCCAGTGGCAAGACAGTCTATTTCAGATCCAGACATGATTTATGATGACTAGTTAGCGAACTCAAAAAGCCAGTTCCCAAGAGATTGGAAGCTTTCAAGAAACAAACAACTTTTATATATGAAGAGAAGCCGGGTTTCGAAGAATCCCTTAGTAGATTGATACGATTATACCTTTTATTTCGTTTAAGAAAGGGGGTGGAATGAATTCGTAGATTGGCAGCACAAGATACCGCTTACACGCATGTAGGACAAGCCTAAAACAGTCAAACAAATCATGGAATGCCTCATTAAGATCGCAAAGTAAAATATTAGAAGTAGGATCTCAGCTGGCCACCTTTCTGGGTTTAGCGTTTTTGGAGGATTTTTTGGTAGATAATGATTTTTGTCTCTGATGTCCGTCACATTACAGACGAAGGCTAAGCACGGAATCGTCAGGGTCGTAGGGCGGTTAGCTGAGGTCTTCTTCGCACAACTCAAAAGATAAAAGTCCAAGGCAACTCTCCTTCGATATTCGGTGAGGCCAATCTACTAACCCTTCCACTCACCTTCTAAAACGAAATAAAAGGTATACCATTATCAAATGGCTTTAATGTTAAAATAAATTCTTCCCTATTAGTTGAAATAAACAAGCTAGCCAGCAGTTCAGCCATATCGACCACCCCTCCTCTCGAGTTAAATAAATGAATAGTTAAAATGTTAGAAATGCATCATAAAAAGGATAACAAATAAAAAGCATTAAGATTGAACTCATGGGTTCTATTACAGTTTATAAAGAGAAAATTCTTTATTCTATTAATAAATTCTTAAAACGAAACCGATCTATAAAACAAAGAAAAAACTAATGATCTTATAGAACCATATCTCTTTGCAGTTCACTTGTAAAATCTCGTTGCTCTGTCCTAATTAAAAGAGAAAAACGTGAAAGTTTTACCAAACATCTTAAAAGTTGGAGTGCCTTTCATTTCATTTGAAAAGACGATTGGAAGGGATTCATAAGTTGGCTTCACCGGAAGCTGTAAGAGGATTGTATTGGAGCTGGAACTGAAGATTTGAGCGAGTTTAATCTGGGCCCACCATCCAGTGACCCCGATAAATCCCTGCTGAGCTTTTGCCCTTCATGTGACGGACATCGTCAGAGTAGGACACCATGCTTAACGATAATTCACCAGACCTTTCTTGGTAAATTATCGTTAAGCATGGTTTCCTGCTGTGAAGATGTCCGTCAGATGGTATACGAAAGCTCAGCAAGGATTTATTGAGATCGCATGGCGGTGCGCCGAAGATATATTCGCATAAATCTACAATCACAACCTAAGGATAATCCATTACAGCTTCCGTTGAGGCTAACCTACGAATCCTTTTCAGTCGCCTCTTTAAACGAAATGAAGGATATTCCTACATTAAACTATTAAGGGATTTCACTAAACCAAATTTTTCTATATAAATCTTAAAATTATTTAGATATTGGCGCCAACGACTCAAATGAACAGGCCGTTTTGAGTATATATTTATCCTATTAATATCAAAGCATTAACATTATAAAATACTAGACATTTTAAATAGCTATATAAAGTAACATACATAAATTCCAGCCTATAAAATGAGCCATCAGATAAAAAAACAAGACACACTTGTTGCAGTTCCATTGCGAGACAGGGAGTTTTTCGTTTAACCAGTTTTATTTTCAGTTCTTTAGCAGTAGTGAAATTATGCTGGGCAGCAGCAGAGATTGAGGTAAAAACGCCACCAGTAACCCAAGCACAACTTCCAGCAATAGCATTGGGAGTAGAAGATTCCGGACAGATTGTCTGAGCCCCAAACATTGTTGCATTTACTCCAATACCACCCGTGCCGGCTTGGCTGCCAGCAGTACTACATCCTACACGCAAGCAGGAGAGAACCTTGAGCAAGAAATTAGAGATGGTAAAAAAGACATGTGAATCATAAGCGAAAAACTACCCTGCAAGTATGGAAAAACTAAGAGGTTTTGAAATTACTAGTAGATATTGAATAGGAGCTATATTCACCCTAAATCACCCAAGGTGACGAAGGAGTGGTTAGTTGAATTTTTCCACAGTTATATGATTAGGCCTCATGTTCCAATTAAATCATAAATAGCCTTGCCTTCCAAAAGGTATCTTCACCCAGAGTGTACTGCATTTTCGACCTCGCTTAGGTCTCATCAATGTTCCAGGCTCTTATTCACGATATACTGATAATTTAAAACCCCCATTCGATAAGAATATAGGAAATGTGGTGAATTGTAATAGAAAATACAAGTTTGCCTCATCGACGACCCCAGTATAAAAAAGAAATATGGGGAATGTCTGGCAGTTCTTAAAGTTTACGCCTGTCCTGTGACTTGGGACACTCGTGGCAGTGACGTAATGGTTACAGGATTCTAGCATACTTTTTACTTCTTTTGAAAATGCGGGCGGGTGGGATTAGTAAATTGGCTTTACCTGATACACAAAGAAAATCGACTTGGACTTGTGACTGTTGGATTGTGCGAAGAAAACCTCGGCTCATCGTCCTACGACCCCGATCACTCTGTGCCAAGCTTTCCTTCGTCATCATCAGAGCCAGAAACCATCATTATCGAACAATTACAGGAAACAATCAACCAAGGAAGGTGGCCGGTTGAAAGTTTACCTGCTTCTTATACAGTCCCATAATCGATGAAAACTCAGCATAGATTCATCGGGGTCTCAGGACGATGAGGTGAGGTCTTCTTCGCACAACCCAACAATCATAAATCCAAAGTAACTCTCTTTCGGTATCCGATGAAGCTAATTTAAGATTCCTGCTCACCCGTCCCTTCCATCCGCCTTTTAAAACGAAATGAAATGAATTTCAGCATCAAGCTACTAAAGGATTCTTTAAAACCCAGCGTTTATTCATATCTCAATAGTGGTGACGTGTCGTGACTATACATTGCATAACTCGAGTCCGAGTCATGGTAGGAGTGCTGCTGAGACCAAGGCGATATCGAAAGTTCAGCTCACTCTGAAAGAGAACACTTTTTGAGAAACAAGGCTTGCGAAATTCAATGGAAACATGAGGTTTACTGATATAATAATGATGAAATTCAACTATTAGTCCTTCAACAACTTAAACGAAATAGGACTCTACTCGTAGTCAAGCAAGCTCAAAAATAGCGAATCCTTGTTCATTTTTTTTGGAAAATTAAATAATAGTAAATAATTTTTGCGGTTTTCGAAATAACGACTCAAGAAAAAAATTAAA